CCAAGACCCCTGCCGTCAAGTCGATTCCGACTCATAGTGACCCTATAGGACAGAGTAGAACTGCCCCATAGGGTTTCCAAGGCTTAAATCTTTACAGAAGCAGACTGCCACATCTTTCTTCTGTGGAGCGGCTAGTGGGTTAGCAGCTAAATGAATAATTTCTTTTATAAGGATCAGCACAAAGCTGGTTCCAATGAGGCGGAGGTTAAAGATGTCCCAAATGTCTAACTTTTACAAGCTGCTGTACCACTCCATCATCTCTAACATCAACTACTCCCTCTCCCCTCAGCACTCTCCCTCCCATCTTTATGTTCCCTAATTCCCTGCAAAATCTTACAGAACTCACAAACCGTATCTAGGAAATGGCTCACACGGTTGTGGAGGCTGGTAAGTCCCAAATCCGTGGGTCAGGTGTAGGCTTCTCTTGAGCCACATGGCTGCAGGGGCAGATGAACCCAGATCACAGGCTGCTGGCTCACATGGCTGTGGAAGCTGGCGAATCTGGTCACTTTCTGAGCTCCAGTTCTTAGAGCCTGAGTCAGCAGCAGCCTGCAACTGACCTGCCAATTCTGGGATTTGCCCCCTACCCGGCATGACATCCCTCTCCAGGGACTGGTCCCTCCCAATAACAGGTCCAAAGTACTTGAGAGGAAGTCTCCCCATCCTCGCTTCTAAGGAGCACTCTGGCTGTACCTTCCAAGACAGATTTGTTCGTTCTTCTGGCAGCCTGTGGTATATTCAATATTCTTCACCAACACCATAGTTCAAAGGCATCAATTCTTCTTAGGTCTTCCTTATTCATTGTCCAGCTTTCCCATGCATATGAGGCAATTGAAAATACTATGGCTTCGTCAGGCGCACCTTAGTCTTCGAGGTGACATCCTTGCTTTTCAACACTTTAAAGAAGGTTTTTGCAGTAGCTTTGCCCAATGCAATACAGTGTTTGATTTCTTGACTGCTACTTCCATGGGCGTGGATTGTGGATCCAAGTAAAATAAAATCCTTGACAACTTCAATCTTTACTCCGTTTATCATGATGTCGCTTACTGGTCCAGTTAGGAGGATTTTTGTTTTCTTTATGTTGATGTGTAATCCATACGGAAGGCTGTACTCTTTGATTTTCATCAGTTAAGTGCTTTAAGTCCTCCTCGCTTTCAGCAAGCAAGGCTGTGTCCTTTGAGATAATGGTTGTGAAAACATGCCGCTAGGCCTCCTCTGCACACTCCTATTGCTCATTTTAAGAGCCAGGCGCCAACTTTTTTCAGCGGCTGTTACGGAAGCCGGGCCATTGCCTGTTTCTTGTGCCTGCTGCCCCGTAAGAGACTTGTGCGTTCCTTTAAAGGCGATCTTTCATTTTTCTCTTTGTTCAGGCTGCACGTTTCCCATTAGGAGATTCCCGCCTCACACCCGGCAGGGAAGTCCGCAAACAGGGCATTCCCATCCGGCCCTCTTCGCCCGGCTGCCGCGGCCAATCAGAACAAGTTTGGCCCTCTGCAGGCGCCGTCCGCTCACTAGGCGGCGCTCGGCTGCCGGTGGCTGGTCTGTAGCGGGCCGAGCGGTTGGCCGGCGGCAGCGGAGGCTGTCGGCAATGGAGTTGGGTTCGGAGTCGGCGGCCGTGAGGCGGCACCGCGTCGGAGGGGAGCGCAGGGAGGACCCTGCGGCGGCGGCGGCGGCGCTGCAGCTCGAGAGGGAGGCCCCGGCTCCGGAGTCCCTGGGGGCCGCGGGCCGCGGCGGCGCAAGGACGCGGAAGCGGAGCCCCGGCGGCGGCGCGGGGACCGGGCTGTCCGAGGCACGCGCCGTGCTGGGGCTCGCGCTTTACCTGCTCGCGCTGCGGGCGCTCGTGCAGCTCTCGCTGCAGCGGCTCGTGCTGCGCGGGCCCGCGGGGAGCTTTGAGGAGTTCGACGCGCGCCAAGCCAGGTACCGGCTCGCCCGCGTCCCCCGTGACGGCCGCGGCCCGGCTCGCGCCGTGCTGTGTGCACCGCCCTCCGGGAGCGCCGGGGCTCACCGGCTACCCGGCCGCCCATGGGCTGGGGTGTACTGCGCGTCTGTCTGCGGAGCTCCAACTTGCCCGACGTGGGGCTTGAGTGATCCCACTGTTAAACTCGTGGTGCGGACTGGGGCTGGCGGGGTGGGTTGTGCCTCGTTTTCCATTCCTTCTGCTCCACCTGCGGATGGCTGGTTGTGGGGCGTCCTACTATCTTGGGGAGCAACTTTCACTTTTTATCGTGGCTGGGCCCTCCTGCTTTCCAAATGAAAGAAATTTGTATAGCTAGCCGATAAATTCGCTTTTGGGGGTTGTTGGAAGAGGATAGTGCAGTGGTCTTTAACTTTTTGGGGGGGTCTCGGTACCCAAAGTGAAGCTGTAGCATCTCCCTGAAAACCTGCCGCTCAAAATTTGCACACAATTTCAGAAGTTCTCCGATCCTTGAAGTTTGTCCTTGGCTCCTGGATTAGTGTCAAGGTTTGACTTTTTATAAGGAAAAAAAGAGAAAAGTCCTGTAGGTATGTTAGGAAAGGTGATTAAGCCAAAGATATTGTAACCTAAGTGTCTCAAAGCTTTTATATAATCATAAGCTAGCAGAAAGTTTTCTTCAATAGCCACTGTATGTTTAGAACTTTTTCTTTGACTACAAAGTGCTGAAAGTTTATTTTCTTTAGGACTTTCTAAAACATAGCCTTCCCCCTTTTTTTCCCAATTGGAATACAGTGAAAACACACACAAAAGTGTTTGCATTAGGAGTAGAATTCTTTTCGGCCCGAATTGAAATTTTTAGGCCTTGTGTGCACACAGTGGGGGCAGGGTCCATTCTTTACAACCAGAAGTTTTTCTTTCTGTGTTTAAGCTCAGACGTAATTATGATTGTATTCATTGTCTCCTGCTAGGGGTACGTGCAATCAGTAACCTGCCCAGTACTAGAATCAGTGCGTTAGTAACCTCCTGCACACAGTGAAGTTGCATTCTGTCCTGTCTAGCCTTGAGCAGTTGTATAGTTTGAATGCTAACCCTAATTTTTGTATTGGTTTGGTTTGGGGATTGGGATAAGTTGGGAGCAGGATGGGTAGAGAAAATTCTGAAGGCCTCAATTCCTGGGAGGCACAATGAAAGGATGGGGCTTTATCGGTGATTTTCACAGGTTGCCTGGGATAATAAAAGGCAGCTTTTGTATGAAGGTCCCTGGGTGGCACACTTCTGTAGTGCCACAGAAGAAGGACCTGGCAGTCTGCTTCCATGATTACAGCTAAGAAAAACCCTATGGAGCAATTCTACTCTGTAACACATGGGGTCGCCATGAGTCGGAATCAACTTGTCAGCAGTGGGTTTGGGTTTTTTTTCCCTGAGTTTTGTATATGTGAGAAATTAGAGAAATAAGCTTTTTTGGAGGGAGGAGAGAGTGCAGTGGAAAAGTTGCTCTGCACTAAATGTTAGTTTTATGCTTAGCTAAGCCTTTATCGTCTGTCTTTTGGTCACATCCAGGGATTATCTTGAACACATAACATCCATTGGCCCCAGGACTACAGGAAGTCCCGAGAATGAAGTTCTGACAGTGCGCTATCTTTTGGAGCAGATTAAACTCATTCAGGATCAAAGCAACAGCATTCACAAGATTGCGGTGGATGTACAGCGGCCCACAGGCACCTTTAGCCTCGACTTCTTGGGAGGCTTCACAAGCTATTATGACAACATCACCAATGTTGTGGTGAAGCTGGAACCCAGAGGGGGAGCACAGCATGCTGTCCTGGCGAACTGTCATTTTGACTCAGTGCCAAACTCACCAGGTATGCACCCGTTTTTATAGTCATTTTGAAGTCATTACAGCCCAGAGAGTTTATTAACCCCAAGTTCATTGTGAGGCACCATTTTTTTGGACAAGTTTTTTTTTTCATCTTGCTGGAAGGCAGGGTAGCTAGAATGTTATCATTTAGTTTAGGATCCAACCTTGCAGTACTGTCTCAAGTGCTTTAAATTTTTTTTTTCCCTTCTGTTTTTAACATTAGCACCAGCGGGCTGACGTTTGGTAGACTGACGCAGCCTTATCAGTGGTAGCTGACAGTGTGTGTTCTTGTGACTTGGAATTAGATGCTGCCACTTCACATGCTTTCTCAGCTAGGTGATGCTCTGGAGGTAACGAGGTAAAGGATAACCGCTGCCCTCAAGCAACGGACATCTCTCCGGACAGTTTCTGTTGACCTGTAAAGTGAGAATTTTGGTCCACTGGGGGTGCCATACTGTTAGAGTACCTCATTACTCCATACTTTGACAAGATAGATGACTTGATGCTTAGGACAGTGCCTGGCACAATAAATATCTGCTAAATGAGAATACCCTAAATTGAACTTACACTTTTTTAAATACAAACGTCCTCAGAAAAATGTTCTCAGTAGTTAGAGATTGTAAGTAGGGGAGAATAGAGCATAGTGGAACCATAGAGCATTTTAGAACTAGGCAAACCCTGAGATGGTATCTGGTTCAGCCCCTCATTTGACACAGGAGTAAACTTAGCTGATTACCACTGGTCAGAGACAGAACTGGGACCAGATGCTGGGTCTCCTGGCCAGCCAGTTCTTTCAGCTGCATTTGAAAGGATGGAGAGTATTAGGGTGTAGTTGTTAGAGGGCATGCTCCCTTGGACAAATTACTTAACCTCGGTTTCTCATCTATAAAATGGGAATAATAATAGTACCTTCCTAATGGGGTTACTTTGAGGAGTAGATGAGGATTAAATATACATAAAACATTAAAACAGTGCCTGGCACACACACAAAATTATATATACACACACACATTTTGCTATTAACTGTTACTAATACTTCTGGATTACTTGAACTTAAAGCAGGTCCAGTATGAACATCTAGAGTTCTACCAAATATATGGTAAAATTTATTTGCTTGACAAGATGATTCATAGTGAGATATCTTTAATTAGAAAGCTTGCCAGTTGCATTTATAATGTTAACTTGCTTCTTCAAAAATCCATGTACACATCTGTTATATAAAGTTAGAAATACCTTCACGTGTGCTGGGGAAACCAGTGGTCTTTACAAAGCAGTAATGAATGAAGTAAGTTTCACCTTGTACCCATTGTTACCATGCTTAGATTCTGGTAAGAGACAAACACCACAGTTACTTAAGAGCATTATATGAGAAAGGTGTGTATACACGTCAGAAAAAAACCATGGTATCAAATGTTGCACATTTACATATATGGAGTCTGATAATTCATGGATGACATTTTTATGGGCTATTTGAGCCCATTTTAAACAAACTAAAATTTTATTAGCGTAAACCATACCAACAACACCAGGGAAATTTCTGTCAATAACAAATGATTAAAAATAGCATTGTATGCATTCATTAAATGAACTGTCACCTCTTAGTAGCTGAACTAATTGAAACGTGAGTATTTTTTTGAAGTTCTCAGCAAAGTACCCTGGACTGAGGAACTGATACCAGTTAGGTGTAACGTTACCCACAGAAAGGCCTTCACTGTCTTCCTTGGGCTGCTGTGTGGTTCCAGGCTGTTGGTAGAAGAGACATTGAGTTATTTTGGGGGTGGCTCCGATTTCAGGGTTAATTCTAAATGGAAGGGGATGTCGGGTAGCCACCCAGCCCTTACAGATACTGTCCTCTAACTTCCCTTCACTTTCTTGGAAGATGTTTGATCCTTCTTTAGGTCTGTTCTAAGACACCAGAACCATTAAGATAAGGGAAGAGAAGTGGACAGTTTTAATGTAGCCTGTATAGATGTATTCCTTTCATTTTCCCACATCTCTTGCCCTTAATTTATAACATTCACTTTTGAAAAAAAAGAAAGTAATGATTTGCTCTTTATTTTAAAGTAACAGCTTAAAGTTAAAAAATATTCGGTTTCCAGAAGGTGACGGTTTTTACTGATAGCTATGTCTACTGTCTGCTTGATAATAATTAGAAAATTATTACTTTGTTTCACTTTGATTATAATTCAATTCAGTAATCACAACAAAGTCAAGTATAGCTAATCAGTAGTTTCTTTTTGAGTAAGAATAGGGTCTGTAATTGAACAGCACAAGCAAGCATTTTAGCTGGCTGCACAGCCTTCCTTAGGTTTGCAGAGAGAAGGAGAGCGACCACATGCCAGGCACTGTGCAGTCTCCTGTGGCGTCCTTATAACAAACCTTCGAGGTAGATACTGTGGGCCTGCTTTCCAGACCAAGAAATCTAGTGTGGGAACATTAAAGTGACAGAGCTAGCATTTACTTCTGAGTCTTTCTTATTCTAGAGCCTATGCTAAACACAGTCCCAGAATTATTATTGCCTGGTTAAGAGCTCGGCTGCTAACCAAAAGGTTGGCAGTTCAAATCTACCAGCTGCTGCTTGGAAGCGCTGTGGGGCAGCACTACTCTGTCCTGTAGGGTCGCTATGAGTTGGACAGCAACAGGTTTAGTTTTTTTGGTTAATGAACCTATCACTTAGCTTCAGTAGTTACAACCAATGTCTGATCTTGTTTCTTTCTACTTTCACCCTCTCCACCCCTTGATTTGAAGCAGATCTCAGCTATATTCATTCCTCTGTAAGTATTTCAGTCTGTATAGCTAAAAGGTAAGGACTCTTCTTACCTGCTCATATTACCGTTTATTACCTCACCTAAAAAAATTAACAATTATTCTTTAATATCAACAAATATCTTGTCATTTCCTTTAACTACTTTTTACAGTGCTTTTAAAAATCAAGGCACTGAAGTCATCTTTACAATCGCCTTTAATATATGAAGCTCCTGAATCAAGGGAAGGTGAGGTGATTTGACTAAACCCTCTACTTTATCAGTGCTAGGACCAGGGATACCACTTAGGCCATTTTTGCCTTTCCCTGTCTTATTAGAGCAGGTGTTTTCTTTGTACTTTTTAATCACATGATCTCAGAGAAACCTTAAAAAACAGTGCACCATCCAAACTGACCCCTCTGTAGATGCAGAGAGATCGGCAGCTTTTGTGATGTTGGTAGGAAAACAAGCGGGAAAGGGGAAGGTGGCCGCGGCAGTAAGAAGCTGTGGATGCCAGAAGTGAGGAAATTGCAGAGAATGTAGAATAAGGATCAGGAGTGGAGCACGTTGTCTTGGGTTGCTGAGACTGCCAGTTTTCAATACCATCTTAGGTGCCACCTGGTTGATGTAGTGCACAGATATGACCTGAGCGACTACCATGGGCCCGGCACGGTGCCAGGCACCAAGAGTACGTCACGGACAAAGCAGACAAAGATCCCTGCCCTCGCAGAGCTTACTGCTGGTGGATGTAGTTGTCCCCTGATGGTCGTGCAGAAGACGCCTTTCCTGGCCGCCATGGTTCACACTGTAAAGGCTTTAAAATCTGAGAAGAAATCTGTTTTTCTGATTGGAAGGTGCCAGTGATGATGCAGTTAGCTGCTCAGTGATGCTGGAAGTCCTCCGTGTCCTGTCAGCATCTTCAGAAGCCTTGCGTCACGCCGTCATCTTTCTCTTTAATGGTGCTGAGGAAAATATCTTGCAAGTAAGATTTTACTGGTTCAAATACTCGCCTTGAATAATAATGATAGAACAATAATAGTAGCTAAACACGCGTTTTGATTAGTCATTTGAGTAGCATGCTAAAGTGATATGCAAAAGACATGTTGTACCTGGCTGTACTTTAAAAGAGCCACAGCTGCTTATGTAGGCATGTTTAATATTTTAATATCTCAACTCAGAAATAGTCTAGGCAGTGTTTGATTCATAAAAGAGCTTTTTGATGACATAATTACTCATCAGGTTTTTTTAAAGCTCAAGTTTGAGATGTTTTGAGGCAGGCATACAACTTGAATACCCAGCCACACATATCTTCCCTTCTCTTTCTCTTCTCCTGTTCTCCTTTGCCCTTTCTTTCGCACAGCTTCACACCAAGGATGTTGTTTGGCACCGCTTTTGGTGACTTTCCACTAACACACTGCGCTTAGCCATTATGCATATAGAGACAGAGGGAAGATGTCTTTAGATACTGCCTTTGGCAAAAAATGATTATTTTGTTTTCATATTTTCCACCTCATCAAGAGAGCCAATCTGTCTTTCGAATAAAAACTGATAATTTAAGATGGTTTAACCTGTATTTGTTTTCTTTCCTTCTCAATTAGGCCAGCCATGGTTTCATTACTCAGCACCCCTGGGCCAGCTCGGTTCGTGCATTTATTAACCTGGAGGCGGCAGGTGTAGGAGGAAAAGAACTGGTGTTCCAAACAGGTATGCAAGGCTGTGCATTGTATATTTTAATGCAGTTCTTGTTTTTATAGAAGTGGAAATTTTTTGAACTTAAGTAACCTCTCTAAAGAAGTGAACATTCTTTTTAAAGGTTGAAATGGTTTTAGCTTGTCTTTGTTAAAAATTTTTAGCAGAATAATAACATTAATAGCCTCTGACTCTCATGTAGAGCTTATTCAATATGAGGAATAAATACTGCTCTTGCCCCCATTTTACAGATGAGGAAACTGAGTCAAGACAGATTGTAACTTGCCTGAGGTCTCACAGTTGACAAATGGCACAACAGGATTTCAACATAGGCAGACCAGGTTCTGAGACTTTGTTTTTAGCCACTACCCAGATAGACATGTAGGTGATGAAAAAAAAAAACAAACCCACTGACGTCAAGTCGATTCTGACTCATAGCAACCCTACAGGACAAAGTAGAACTGCCCCATAGGGTTTCCAAGGAGTGCCTGGTGGATTCGAACCACCGACCTTTTCGTTAGTAGCTGCTGTAGCTCCTCACCGCTATGCCACCAGGTTTTCCTGTAGGTGATGAGCTGTCTTTTATCCTTATGGGCGATTATGATACAAATGATTTTAAACGACAGTTCGTTCGTGGATTAAAATGAAAAAATTAAGTAGACTTTAAATTTATCTTTGAATTTATTTTAATGTCAGAAAAGTCCTGTAATGTTTAATCAGTCAGAGAAATATTTTTAAATTTTTCTGATTAAACTTTTCTAAGGATAACCAGTTGCTCTTGGATTGATTCTGACTCATGGCGACCCCATGTGTATCAGAGTAGAACTGTGCTCCCTAGGGTTTCCAAGGGCTAATTTTTCAGAGGTAGATCACCAGGCCTTTCTTCCAAGGCACCTCTGGGTGAACTTGGACCTCCAACCTTTTGGTTGGCAGTTGAGCACATTAACCGTTTGTACCACCCAGGAACTCCTTTCTAAGGATAGCATGATTAAATTAATATATATCAATTTGTCATCTTCCTTAATAGAATTCAGAGCTTATAAGTTTGTTCAGTCAGAGCATACTAAAACCTGATTTTGGAAGTTCTACGCCACTTTCCTCTTCTGTTACAAATTTGGGTAATGCATTTTAGCCAGAGATGCAGCATTTGCTGGAAGTAAAAATAAGAAGTGTGTTGGGAGGTGAGGTGGGCTGGGTGGGGGATGTGAGGAAGGTGATGTGGGAACTTTTTTTTTAGCACTGATTGGAGACGTGGTATTGCTTAAGTTTCTGAAGATATGCCAAGTGCTAAGTACATCTTCATAACCTAAACCCATTGAAAATGAAATAAAAAACAGTTGCAGTTGATTCGATTCCAATTCATGGCGACTCCGTGTGACAGAGTAGAACTGCTTCTTAGGGTTTTTTTGGCTGTAATCTTTACAGAAGCAGATTGCCAGACCTTAATATTCTTCATTCAACTTATTATTTTAAACTTTTATCCCTCAAAATGGATGTATTTTTAACTTCAGCTAATCGTGAGAATCTCAAGGTCAAAAGCAGGAAGGTTCTCCTTTCTTTTCAGCTCTCAAACCTTTCTGCTGACTCTTATTCTTCATCCTGATTAACAAGAATAAGCTCCTGGTGCCTGATATTTGTAAGAGATGGTAAATTGCCCTCTGTTTCTTGGAAGTCCGTCAGGATAGGAGGAAGACAGATGATAATCACACCAGATGAAAAAGCAGTAAGAGACCGTTCTGTAAGCAAAGAGGACGCTGCATTTTTCTTTCCGATCGTGAGAGTCTCAGGGCTGTACATGATCAGGCAAATGTCTCTGTGTTTCCCCTGCCCAGTGTACTGTATGTCAGGTGTCTTCATATCCATGGTTGTTCCTGATTGTCATAGCACCTTGCCTTGTACTTCTACTACCCAGAGAAAAACCAGTGTTATGATTTAGTCTAAACCCCTCCTGAATGTGTTTTACGCATATGTGTTAATACATTTTTATGTGTATAGTCCAGAGAGGTTAAGACACACTGACCTAAGGTTAGGCACTTCCAGACCCGAGCTGGTTCCTTTATTCATGTACACTTGTTGAGTGCCCACTTCAGCTAGTTCTCACTGGCTCCAAGTCTGTGAATGCATCTTTTCACTAAATGTAGATAAAAGATTCTGAAGTTGCATACATTTTAGAAATAATTGCGTTGTCTGGAAGGCTGTAAAACTGTTAATAATGGCTACTGCTGGATGGAGGGTGTTCGCTGATGAAACGGGGGTGACTGGAGTGGAGGGTGAGGCTTATGTACAGAACCAGTTTGAACTCTCCATTGCTTCGTGAATTTGAGAAGACCAGAATTGCTGTTACTGCTTTACTTATACTCTTTATGGTTTTCTGTAGTGTTTAAATTTTGCAATGCATATGATTACTTTGATAATAAAACAAAAACAGATTTATGGGTGGTTAGCAACATATATACAATTTAAATGTTTTACACATTCTCAAATAAAATCCCCATATTTCAAAATTATTTTTTCTCTAGAGGGGCACCTTGTAAAAGATTTGGAGAGAATATCGCCCCCTTTTCTCTGAGTTTATATAAGATTCTTCCCTCCAGCTTTTTGCAGCTATTCTTGTGGCTAAACTGCATCCAGAGAGCTTTCCGGGCACTTTCTGACAGTCCAGTACTTTCCTGTTATCTCTCACTTCCAGATGCCTTTGCCTACGAAAGACAAGCTCTCTGTGGGGATGGCTTCACAAAGCTAGTTAGTGTTCCTTCCATGAAATGACTAAGGGGGGTAAGTCCCCCTGGATTTGGGTTCTGCTGGAGAGTGTGTGCCAGGCCTCTCTGTCCCCTGCCTTCTTAACAGGCCCTCCTTTTTTTCTGCATAGTAGCACTTGTCTCATCCTGGGAACTTTTCAGTTAAAACAGTTTGTACTTTCTAGTGCTCCACGGTCACTTCCGAGAGAGACGTTTATTTGGGGAGTTTTTAGTGACCTGAATAATCATCACTGCCTCGTTTTTAAGACAGCCAGAATGCATGAAAGAATGACTTGCTTTTTCAGACTAGTGATTTATATCCAGAGTCAGAAAGGCTTGATTTAATAATTTTGATGATGTTATAAAATCCATTCTTAATCAAATCTAAGTGGATTAAACCAGTATTATATATCTTGTAAACATTCAGATACTACCAACCTTGAAAGCAAGAAAGCCCATAAGTAAAGGGGTGATGGAATCATTTTTTTTCTTGTGAAATACCAATGCCTCTGTGATCCTACTACCCTGAGCAAACCAGTGTTCCAGTTGAGTCTAGCCCCTTCTGGAATTTCTTTGGCGCATATGTAGTAATGTATTTTGTACGTATGTGTACACTAGAGCTGTCAAGTCGACTCTGACTCATAACAACCATCTATATGTAGTTTTTTTTTTTTTTTCAAAAATGGGATCATACTGTATCCACTATTTTATGACCTGGTTGAGAAGGCTTTCTTGTTCTTATGTTTTTTGATAACTCCTTTATTGTGATCTAATTCACATACCCTCCAATTCACCCATTTGAAGTGTAGAATTTAGTGGTTCTTAGTGTATCACGGAATTGTGCAGCCGTCACCACAGTCAATTTAGAACCTTTTCATTACCTCGGAAAGAAACCCTTACTCACTAGCAGTCACTCCCCGTTTCCTCCCAGTCCCCTTGCCCCATACAGCCACCTGTCAATTTACCTACACTGGGCGTTTCATATAAATAGGATCATATAACATGTGGTCTTTGTCCCTGGTTTATTTCACGTAGTATGTTTTTGAGGTTCATCCATAGTGTAATATGTATATTTCATTCCTCTTTATTGTGAAGTGTTCCATTTTATGGACATACCATATTGCTTTTATCCATTTACCAGGTGATGGACATTTGGATTATTTCCACTTATAGACTATTTGGAATAACGCTGCTACAAGCATCCATGTGTATGTCTTTGTGTGGACGTGTTGTTTCTTTTGGGTAGATACCTAGGAATGGAATTGCTGAGTCACATGGTAAATATATGTTGAACTCTTTTAGAAACTGCCAAGCTAAACAATTATGTTTTATTTAGAAGACCTGTAAATTCAAATAACAGTAAGATTTTTTAAAATATTAGATTGCTGAAAAGTAAGTAGAATGATAATATCTGATGCTTAGGAGTATAGAGAATCAGATGTTTTCCTACTGTTGGTGGAAATGTAAATTGACAAATTTTTGGAGGGCACTTTGGCGGTGCATATGATTTTTTAAAACGTGCAGCCCCTTCAGTCCACTTACAGAAATTTATCCAGTAGAAATAGTTAATATGTAGATGTGCAGATCTAAATACAGTATACTCATCTGGGCTTTTTTTTCTTTTGTAAAAAATTATTTTTGTTGTTCTTGAGAATATATACAGCATAAACATACATTGGCTTTTTTATACAAATAAAAAATTGAAAACAACTCAAAGATCCATGAGTAGTAGACTAGTTTGTTATAAAGTGGTGATTTAAAATTATTTTTCTTTCTCCCATCATCAATTTTTCCCTCTCTACAAGGTTATTTCCATCAGCACACAACCACGCTTTTTCTTCCATCTTAACCACTTTTGACCTCTTTCCCCACCCTCCTCAGCTACTGCCTCATTTCTGTATTTCCATCTACTACGTAATTCCTCAAAACAGTGGTCTATAGCCACAGTCTTCAATTCCCTTTCCCGTTTTTGAACCAGTTCTGTTACTGAGTTTTAACCTCTCTGCTCCACAAGAACTGCTAAAGTTCAGTGGTCAGTTCCCAGGCCTCATCTTGGTTTCTGTAACAGTATGTGCCAGGCTTTTTCAGTCTCCTCCTCTAGTCCCTCTTGGTTCTTCGGCTGTCCCTGCCGCCAGTGAAAGGCAGAAGGGAGTGGGGCAACGGGAATGAGTTGTGTTTGACTCAGTTAGGTCTGTGTTTACCAGACTTCCTGGAAACTCTGACTGTGTTTTTGGCACTGAAATTTATCTCCCCTCGACATCACATGTGTCCTTACCC